ATGGGAAAAGTAAACTTCTCTGGTACTCACGAGGAAGTCTCAAGCTAGAAGCAAACTGCCCCTGGCTTGTGCACTGAGGTTAAAAGAACACTGAACTCGTTGCCCAACAGCATCTGCCCTGGTGGCAGTCTGTGCCTTCGCGTTAGCAAGGTGACATTTCATCAGGCCGGCGCACAGCCTTGTGCTAATTTTGTACCTTTATCTCTTGCTCCTTTGTGTGCGCATGCGCACACGCTTGTGTGAAAACTACACTTGTGCAGATATCCGGACAGTCAGGGTCCGACCAGCTGGTGTCTGGAAGATGGATCGGAAGCCGTCAGCACTGCCTGATCCTGCCTCGGACCGGAAATACTATAAATCAGGGAAACAGGGAGAAAAAATTAATAGGCTTTGCTTGTCACTTTAATAGCAATAATGAAGCAAAGTTTCATTAGGTCAATGGAGGTTAAGTGGTGACATTAGTAAAGTGGTCAATACAGATATGCTGTGCAGGCAGTGAAGAGATCCTTCTAAAAGGATGGATTATTATAACTCCTCAGCATTCACTGTTTCTTAAAAGAGGCATTTGTAAAAGCTTTTTTTAAAAAAAAAAATATGACTTTTTCCAAGGACCCCTGTTTCAGGCTTAAGTTCAGACGCCGTGTCTTTAAAGAAGCCCTTACAGGGAGCCGTGGGTTGTTGGAGGCTTACTGCCAACAAACAATTGAGGTATTTACCAAGGGTTTCCAAGAAATTGCTGCAAATTATACAAAATGCTATACCTGTAACAGACATTCAATGTATTAGCAGCAGGGGAAAAAATGTAACGTGTAAGAACAGAGTTGCAATTCGTGAGGAAACGTTCAGTCATGTAGGTAGAGATGAATTTTAATGATGTGTCACAGGGTAGCACTCCTGCACACAGAAAGGAACTAGGTGATCTGACACTTTTTAAAAAAACCCTAAATGTCAGTGTAGAATCACCATAGAAGAGCCTTTAACAGAATCTCACGTAGAGACTCTTTAGGGAGAAGGAGACTGCGACTCAGTGTGGGTGGAACTCAGACCCCCATCCCAGGCCTGTGACCCACCCCCACCCCGAACCACGCTAGCGCCCCCTCTCGGGTGCGGTGTGAACTAGTCTTTGCAGAAAAAGAGCATGGTTTAGTTTTCTCTGAAGATAGTTAACACTGCTCCTTTTTTTTTTTTTTTAAACCATGAGAAAAATCTTTAACAAATAAGATTCCTAGCACTGCAAATCAAGAACTCAGTGTCATTAAAAGCCTTTCCTTAGTTTACTGGGGGAGACACCTGTAAAATCTAATCAACCTGCCTTCCTCACCCTTGCCGTAGCAGCGTGCAGCACCTCCACTGAGCCTGCGTGTGAGATGGGAAACGTTGCTGATTTTGAAACTGAAGGACTTCCGGGAACCAGGAAATAGAGAACAACACTTTTAGCATCTTTCTAGTATTTTCCCTTCCCATATTTCTGTACTGTTCATCGAATTTTAGTTTAAAAGAGGAAATGCAGGGGCTGGAGAGATGGCTCAGTGGTCTAAAGCACCTACTTGAAACAAGTTTGGCAAAGCACAGGGACCGCGGTTCAATCCTCCAGCACCACATGCCAGCCAGCCCGCCCCCTGGTGGGCTGAGCTGGCCACACACACACACACACACACACACGCACAATAAATAAATGTAATAAATAAAAAAAAAGAAAAGGTTTTTTTAAAAAAAAATAAAAAAAAAATAAAAGAGGAAATGCAGGCACCTCTAAAGCAAGCTAGAAGATACTACATTGAAATCATTGCGTAGGTCACAAAATTGCACATCTATCTGCCCCTTGCCATATTTATGCTTTATATAAATGCTTGCGAATTATGGGGCCATTGTTGAATTGGGGGCCATGTAGTGACGCCTCATTTTTTTTGTGGCTTCTCATCTTACCGGAAGCCTCTGTGGATGGTTTCGAGCCTGTAATTCATGGTTGCATTCTGTATTTTTCCCACGACCACGACTAGATTCTTGCATTCACTATATAATGAGCATCTTATTTTTAGCTGTGGACCACCTCCTAGGGAGGGAGGCTGTGCAGAGTTGTGCAATGAGCTATTTTTGACATAAATCACAAGCATCCAAGAAAGTGGCAATATCCAAGGAATAAACAAGAGAGACCGCCATTCAGCTGCAGAGAAAGTACCTGCGGCTCCCAGTTTAACCTGTTTAATACTTCAGCCATCTGGCCCGGTTAGTCATGAAGAAAGAGCCAAGGATAACCCCAAGCATGCTTACTTTCTGGCCCTAATTCCTGGGTTCATTTGATTAAATGAGGACCTCTTAGACCCAAGGAAATACTCTGCTTTGAAAACATTTCATTAGCAAAACCCAATATACTGGGGACTAAGTGACACAATATTTACAAGCATTTGCTGTATGGGCACCTTCTCAGCTTTTGTTAAGGTAGCTGAACTTTTGCTGAGGAAATGTATACAATTTTACCTCTAGCATAGAAAAACTGGTTCCCCAAACCTGCCTCAGAAATCTGTAGCTCTAACAGGGGCCCATACTTGCCATCCCAGCAACTTTGCAGATTAAGGCTGCAGAATTATAAATTGGAGCCCAGCCTGAGTAAGATAGTGAAGGGTCGCAGAGATAGCTCAGTAGAAGAAGCGCTTGCCTGGCAAGCGCAGGGTCCTGAGTTCAATCCCCAGTACCGCAAAAACAAACAAACAAAAGCCTACTTTAAAATCCACAGTGTAGGCTGAGTAAAATAGGGAGCCTCTGTCAAAACAGACAACCCGCCCCATATCTAAGTTCTGGGTTCAATCCCTAGTATTCTAAACACAAACGCACAACCGTTTAGAGATTGCCTCTTACAATATTGCCAAAGATTCTGCCCACACGAACTATCAATACAGTTAGCTTATCATCCCCATCAGCTTTGTAACTGTTGCCAAGATATTGGGGTATTTACTCGAACCTCCAGACAGATTCTCATTCAGTGACGTGCACCCAGGAACTAGGGACAAAAGTCAACATGTTTGGGGCTCCTTCTTCAGTACTAATGGGACCCAGTAACAGATCTGGATAAAATACAACAGCGCTCATCATCCCGTGGATTAACATCATGGACCACTTCTAGGACGCCCACTAAACGCTGTACTGTGTGAGGCGCTCGCACATCATGCTCGGCTTTGTCCCGTTTTTTCTGGAGCCCGGAGCTGCAGAGAACCGGGAGACTGGGTTCGCCTCTGGGCGGGCGCTGGGTGAGGACGGGGGACCCCTAGGCGCAGCGCGGGGTGGGTAGGTCGGGGCTGCTCCCGGCGGCGGGGCTGCGGCGCTCTTTCTACGAAGTTCGCCCCCGGACCGGAGCCCGAGCGCTGGGGCCAGAGCCTCCGCGCGGGCGCGGGCTGGGTGGCGGGGGCGTGGCCACCGGCACGGGTAACGGGCAGCCCGGCCGCCGC